AGGAGCAGGAGCAGCGGTGCCACCCCACTGCGTGCCTCAGGCTCTGTGATGCGCCGCAGGCGGCACAGCAGCACCAGGGCCAGGATCAGCGAGGCCAGGACCGCCACGCCTGCCGCCACTGTCACCGCCACGCCCCACACTGCGTCCAGGTTACACAGCGGCCACTTCAGTTGGGAGCCACAGCCTCGAGGAGGAGCCTCATCCTCTGCAAAGCTGTGGCCCACCAGGGAGAGGATGAGGAGGATGGGGAACATGGAAGGCATTGCCATTGCTGACAGAGAGAGAGACAAAGAAATCATTTTTGGTCTGAGCAACATAGCATCAGTGTTTAACTACTGTAAAAAAAAAAAAGTTTACTGTGAGATAAGCAGGCTTCCACCATTTAGGAAAAAAAAAACCGAAGAAGCAGAAAGATATATCTGAGTCAAAAGGAAAAATTACGAGTGGATGACTTTATAGCTAATTTGCAGCCTTTGAAGTACACATTTCGGATAGGGGGATTACATACCTAGTCGATGTCTGTCGTCTTCACCAGCTCTCAAAACACGCCAACCTCCTGAGTTCATTTTCGTCTAAATGCCGTATTGCCGTGAACTACGTATAAAAGAACGCTTGTCGCGTGACGATTATTACGTCTTTTAGAATCTAAGATACGTCAAAACTGGCACTTCGAAAAAAATTACATAATTTTGAATATAAACAAAAAAAAAAACTTCAAACAAAAACAAGCAAAAAGTGGCGAATGGTACAAAGCCTGGAAATAATTAATTACTAGGATGTACAGGTCAGCTCTGGTAAAGGAGTGACTTTTTTTTACATGATGTCAGATTTTGTGACCCCAGTGTGACTTGTGAAAAAGCAGCAATACACCATTCAAAACGTGTCTTTTCGCCGTCCTTACACACTTGTACTGTTGTCTTAAAATCATATCTAGCATTCCTGATTGCCAAAGTAAACGTAAAGCACGATACTACACGGTATCGTGCATCACAAAATTAAACGGTGTCTGACATGTTTTTGTTTCTGCTGCGTGTATCTGGGCTCGGTGTTCATTAAGCTAAATAAGTGTTTTCTCTAAACACACACTGTCGCGCATTTTTCACCGCCACAAGGTCTCACTCCCCGTAGGAAGCGGTCTTTTTAGGTTTGAGAGGGATTACAGTATTTAACGCGTATAAAGTCATATACTGTAGGTTGAGAAAACAATGTCCATGCATCTATATTTCCGACAGGGAGGGAGATTGAAACACAACACCTCCGAGCAACTCGGCTGATCTGGCCACACCACCCCCACCGTCCAGCGATGTCTTTTTGAGGACCTAATTAAGTCATTACAATATCTTGATTTTACTGGCCGAAAAAAACACACAAACACATTGACAGACTGTTAACTTTTAAACGCTGCATTAAAGTACTTAAATAAACATTACCAATATCTTTGTCCATATATTCAAGACATGAAACAGTAAAAGATCACCTGTCCTGGGAGGCGTTTAACCGGTGTTTATAAAAGGCTTTTTATAAACTACTATTATAGTGCAGCTAGATTCACGATGTTCTCATGAAGCCCGGATGATTGAAAGTCCACAAAAATAATTGAAAAATGGTCAATGGGGTTTGGTGGCTTATCAATATACATACACTGTAAAAAATTAAAAAGTTAAGACAACTTAAAATTTCAAGACAACTTACTGCACTAGATTTTTGAGTTCTGAGGGCAACTAAAACTTCTACATTTTTAAGAAAACCACCTATTGTTATGCCAAGTCATTTTTTTTTGTTCAGATAATTTACCTTTCATATCTATAAAAACTTCAAATGTTTAGTTATACATACTAAGAATTGCTAACAACAAAAGTTGTTCCAACCTATTGTCTTTTCTTAAGATTTATCTTTCATATGTGTAAAAACGTAAAAATTTTAGTTTAGCATACTAAGGCTTTGCCCATTGCGGTGCCCAGGGCTACAAAAATGGTGCCCAAAGATGGGCTGGGCTTGAATGGGCAATTTTTGGGTCAGAGGCATAAAGGTTTAGCCCAGTGAGGTACCTGCTGCCCCCTTGAGAGTAGGATGCTGCCTATAAAACTGTAAACAGTGTTTTTCTGTTAGCACCTTATTCAGCGTAAGTTTCAGATATTTGAGCATGTGGCTCTGTGAGCTAAGCCTCTCTGCTCATGGTTTGAAGGACACCAGTTCAAGCCCAACATCAGCACGTGTGTGCAAGACCCCTAACCACCAGCTTCTTAGGCATTGTAGCAGGTAACTGCCCTTCACAGTCAAATTTGCTGTCATTCCCCACACCTATTATTTATTACTATCATATTTAAAATAAACATGCTAATTGAACTGTTTTGTTATCTTCATTTATAATAATTAGTTGGCACATATTTTGCAGCTTTGAATTCTTAGCATGTTTAACTCAAATTTTATAGTTTTTACGAGAATAAGTTGGCACAACTTTTGTTGTTTGTAATTTTTAATATGTAAAACTAAAAATTAGAGGTTTTTATAGATATGAAATATAGATTACCTCAATAAAAAATAATAAGTAAATAAGTAAAACAATAGGTGGTTTTCTTCACAACATTAAAGTTTGAGTTGCCCTCAAAACTCAAAATTTTAGGTTGTCTTAACTTTTTCTTTTTTACAGTGTACAGGTATAATTGCCTCAGTCATATAACGAATAACTAGATGGTGGCTTTATAGAAAAAAGGCAGAATTACCTATACCTTATTGTATAATTACCTCAGTTATGTAATGAGTACTCAGCTCAGTCATAACGGACAGTTAGAAGTGTACATGTATAATTACCTCAGATAGATAGATAGATAGATAGATAGATAGATAGATAGATAGATAGATAGATAGATAGATAGATTAGATAGATAGATAGATAGATAGATAGATAGATAGATAGATAGATAGATAGATAGATAAAAAGTAAATGAAAGTAATATATATGCGCCCGTGCCATTGGGCAACTTCAAGCTGGTGTTTCGCAAAACCAAGGTGCAGCATTATTTGGAGTGAGCCCTGGTATCATCTCCAAATTGAAGGCCAAGTTCCAATGACTATTTCCTATTTATTTAGCTATATTTTCTATTCAAATTCATTTCATGTATGTTTTCTTGGAAAAAAGGAAACTTTTGAACGGTAGTGACGAATACAATTAAATTCTTGTATAGCCAAAAAACAACAATCACACAGATGATCATATACATAAGGGGTCTCCAACTCCGGTCCTGGAGAACTACTATCCAGTAGGTTTTCTATCCTACCTGGCATCTGATGAGCCACACCTGTTCCTGGTATTTACCTGAGAACTAGTGTGGCTCATCAGAAGCCGGGTAGGATAGAAAACCTACTGGATAGTAGCTCTCCAGGACCGAAGTTGGAGACCCCTGATATACATTATATGTTTTAATCATGTAATGATTACACTATTGCAAATTTATTCCAATTCTTCTCCCAATGGGCAGCAGCAGTGGGTCTATAGACCAAACCTGTATGTTCAGGTCAGTGTTTGGGTCGCCTCAGTGTGTCTGTGTGTGAGGTGCTGAATGAGGAGCTGCACTCACTCCGCTCTCTCTCAAACACACACACACACACACAGTAGGTCAATGTAGTAAAAAGAAAGTACCGTACCTGAGCTGCTGTCATTGAGCGCAGAGCGCTGGCTCTCCACAATCCACTGGGGGGACAGGAAATGCCTGCTTCCAAGTTGGCCTTCCTTAGGTGGGGCAGGGCCTGCGCAGGAACAACATCACTGGGATCAGAGGGCTGCAGGGCTGCGCGCAGGCAGACGTGGGTCTTAGATGGCGTGGAACAGTAACGGCAATCAGGCCTGCGCTACCAGCACCTTCGCCTGCAACTGGTCCTTCCAGCTGGTCATCTCATTCACGACAGTAAAAGAGACAGGTGGTCCACAGTATGGCGGAGGTGAAGCTCATGACGAGCAGCCACATGACCCTGCATCTCCACTGCGGCTGCCCCCTGAGCCAGGCCACAGGCCGCAGGGCCAGCCTGTACACGCAGACCAAGGCCATACTTAGTGGTTGGTACTGACAGACCGGCTGGCCCAGATGCAGCACAATCGCCAGGATCCACTCAACAATGGCAGAACCCTGCATTATAGGCAAGTCCTACTGCCAAGTCCCACCTGGGCTTTGAAGCAGGAGCGCCAGAGCAGTCGCATACCCTGGGTCGTTAGGTATGCGATACTCAGGACACACAGCACCCCCCAGAGGGCATGTCAGGCAGTGCTGACGGTCCAGCATGAGTCTTTTGGCAGTTTTTGTTTTTTGATTGCAGTGATAGATTTCTATCAAATGGAATTTCCCCTTGTGAGCACTGAAAAAATGCCCCTCACAACGTGAAAATAATGGATTTTTAATGTATATCTAACCCACAAACACATAGTGTTTCGCCATTCTCCCTAAAGATCAGGTTTTTGGTCCAGACAGCCCCCTCACCCCCACCCATACAGTCCTGCATAGACGTCCGTACATCCACCTTTACTTAGGGGCATGTCAGACTGTTCACAAAAACATCTATAGTTTACCCATAATTTTCTTTCTAACCTCTACATCACTGCTCCTAACTCACGACCTATTTAGTCTGGGTTAGACACCATGCTGACCGCGAGCCTGTACAGGATATGCAGATTTAGAAGGTGGGTGGGCTGCTTAGGGAGCATCACAACATGTTTCCGGGGGGGGGGTCATTATCGCTTTTGAAGATCAAGCCCACGACTTATCGTGCTTGATGACTCAGTCAGGTGTCTGCTTGCACTTACTGAGAAGTGAGTCGGGGGGGGGGCATACAAGGGAAGTGGAGTCTATTCAGCAGTCACTCTCATCACTGTACAACTGCACTTGCTGTCAGCACTGCAGTCCAGGGCTGTTACTTCTTTGGTTGGATTGACCATAATCTGGTGGCAGACGCACACACACACAGCGGAGTGTCTTCACCCCCACTTCAGTGTGCGTCGTATGTTGAGGTGAGGACTTGTTTGAGGTGAGCATTATTTTTAAATAATATTCAGAACACTGCATAAAGTATTAATGACTGAAAAAAATGGCTTTGTGTCATTTGTGGTAATCTCCCCTCCCCTCCATGTCCCATCTAGGTGTCAGTGTGGGGAAGACACAGCATGCAGAGAGACAGCGAGTGAAGTCACTTGTCTTTACTGCAACAATGGAACTGGGACACAAAACAGCCGTTGGACTCATGACAGGTAAAGACACAATCAGCGCTTTTATAGAATGTATGTTATGCTTACATGCACCCAACTTTTTTTTTATGCAAATTATTTTGAATTTTACAGGAAGTAGGAAGTAGTTTTGCTTTACATTACCTGCACCTTCATAATGCCGTTACAATGCGAAAAAAAACCTTTTTTACTAATTATTTCAAATTATACAGGAAGTAAGAGGTAGTAGTTGAAATGTATATAATATTTTTAGCGAGAGATTCAAGAGTTATATAACATATTCTTTGCAATTCTTTAGAGTGTATTACGTATGACTCTCCTTGTTTTGCCTCTCTCTTGTTTTAATAAAATGACAGCAATTACATAGATTCACATACTTTGATACTGTGTGCATTAATTGATCATTTACAATAATACAGTCTATCCAGCTGTGGGGTTTTGTTGTTTGAATAACCAAAAGCGCACCTCTGAATGCATAAAAATATGTTACTCTAGCTTCAACAAAACAATAAGAGGCATCTGAATATTAAACCTGACATTCCAGTCATTGACTAACCCTGATCGGAATAAGCAGGAACAGATACAGACTGCAAACAAATGGTTACATTCAGTTTCACTTGTCTAATTTATTAAATGTCAAGAAATATTAAATCATTACCTGCATTACACATGGAGTAATCACCTGAATCAGAGGGGATTATAAGCAGTTAACATAAATGGCCGCAGAATATTATACTGTTATTTATAAGCTGATTAAGGTTCTTGGTCTGCATGTCTAGGTGGTTTAATTGATGTTTCTCTCCTTTATCATTAAAAAGTATCTCCACCATGTGCAGAAGTCTGTATTTCAGAGGCACATACAGCTTTCTTTCTTTGATTAACTACTCTGACACATATCCTCTCTTCCCCGTCGTCACAGTGCTGGTGTGTGTGGAAGCTGCTGTGGGCTGGTGCACAGTGTCCCAGCCTCAGGAATTCCGGGCCACCGACGGGGACTCCCTGACACTCAACTGCACCTTCCAGGTGCCAGACGAGTCTAGGGTTCGAGTGACCTGGTCTCATAGTAATGGATCCCAGGCAGGCCGTGTGCCGGTGTCCACCAAGCTTTTCTTCGTCAGGGAAGAAAATGAGACAAGGGAGAAGGACCCCAAAGAGCTGTTGTATCAAGAAGTGGGACACAATTGGTCCAGACTGACTCTAAGGAATGCTAGCTTCAACAATCGAGGAATGTACTTCTGTGAGGTGACAGTGGAGATTCCACACCTATACCAATGCTCCGGCAATGGAACGAAAGTTATAATTGGTAATTTGGGAGACATAACATCGCCACAATAGGTTGTAGTGATACATGGGGATGCAACAAATGAGAGTGAAAGAAAAAGTTAATTTTACTTTGTGAAATTGTGATGAGCATGAACAAGCTCACATACTGTACATCATGTATTTATTATTGGCAAGGTCTCTAAAAAGAGTGACTGTAAACGTAGCGTGACAATAAAAAGTCTCCCTTTACCACTTCCCTCCACAGAAACACTGTCTACAGCTACAGAGGGTAAAGTAGAAGCTCCCTCTGTGCTCTGTCTGTGTCTGTATGTGCACACGATTCGGTAGGAGAGGACAGGGCTGCAGTGAGGTCACAGAGGAGCATGTTCTGTATGCATGCTCTTTAACAGGAAACATCTGAAACATTTATTTTTTCATACTACACAGTGACACCACAAGATCATATACAGTGATACCTCAGTTCTCGAACTCATTAGAACTCGAATTTCTTAAAAGTCGAAACAACCAGTTCGAAAAAAAATTACCTAGAACTTGATCTGAATCTCAGAAGTCAAACCGTGAACGCCGACCTTTAGATAACTTGTACGTGTGGGGAAATGAGTCACGCGGCACGTCTCTCAGTGGAAACAAAGGGTAATGCTTCAGTGTCAGCCTGCTGTGATAACATCGTGCATGTTTACACTAGCTGAATACATATATTTAGACAGTAAAAATACATTTAGACAATGATAGACAGTAACAATAATTATTATTATATAATAAAATACATTTAAAAATAAAGATTTCTTATTAATTATTTTAATATTAATAATAAACCATTAATACATTTAATTATAATAATATTGTCCTGCGGAGCGGGGACGGAACGGAGACAAAGGCGCAGACGTCAGGGTATCGGGGAATAAAGGGTTTAACTACAGGTAAGGCAGGCAAAACGCAGACGGACAATACAATGACTGGACTGGGGAAACAAACTGAAACATGGAAGAAATACAGAGGGCTAATGAAAACAGCCAGAAACAGCTGATCACACGGGGATTCCACACGGGGTTGACGAGGGGGCGTGACACACGGAAGATGTGGACGATCGGGGCAGAACACATTGGTTTCTTTTTTACTTTACACATTGTTTGGATACATTTACTGTTTTGATAAATGTGCTTAGATGTGTTTAATACAGTATATGCTCTTCTTGTTTTATCCGGTTCATTTTGTGTTTAAATGCTAAAAAAAACATATTTAGGTGTCATTTTTTGGGGCCGGGAACCAATTAATTGGTTTTCCATTATTTCTTATGGGGAAAATTCGATCAGAACTTGAACTTTTTAGGATTCGATCCGGAGTTCTGAACTGATTAAGTTCGAGAACTGAGGTACCACTGTATTTATTCTGAATTGACCATTTGTTCTTCCTGATGTCAAAGTCATTTTTTTTGTTGTCAATGTTTTCCTTACATGACATCAGAGCTGTGGTAGTCGAGTCTGGTCTCAAGTCTCCATATGAATGGAGTCAGTCGTATCACACACTCAGCTAATTTCTTGCATTAGGTCTTGACCCAGGCTCAAACATTCATTAATCACCCCCCCCCCCCATCCCTGATGGATTTCTTATATTATCTTCAATTTAGTTTAGCTTTGCGCACCCACCCGCATAGTTTTATCATGTCCTCACGTCTGGTGGTTTAAATGTGTTCAGCGAGATACATTCATGTTACAATGAAGTGTATGATTAGGGCATGGTGCAGCGGTATCAGGTGTGTTTCTCATACCTTGCTGTTTGACAAATTATTTTTTTCTTAGTTGAAAATAATTATTTCTTAGCTGGTGGTCATTTTAAATAAATAGTTTCATTGTAATAATTTGAAGCATTTGTTTAGTCTTGAATTTATATGTTCAGAATTATGATTTATGGCCTAGAATTGAACTTGATGCTTGTCTGGACTTGGACTCGGCTATCCTGCTCTGGTTATAGACTCGGTGTCACCTTCGACTCGCTCCCCTGCTGGACTTGGTCTTGACTCTGAGTCAATTTGTAAAAGATATGGTCCTTACTCAGACTTCAGTAAGGCGGACTCCGGCACATCACTGCAAGACATGGACAATCTTCTCTGTTTAAGAAGCAGCGTGTACAGTGAACTAATGTGTTTTTCAAGACTGTGGGTCAGATACGCTGCTGGTTTGATGGAATATTTCCTATGTGCCATATTCCTCACATTGTCCCTGCTTTGCCTTCAGGTGAAATACGTCCAGGCTGGAAGATCTGGGTGGGGGTGGGAGTAGGAATGGGGACTTTTCTGTTGACTGGCATGATGTTGGGATTGTCCATCTACTGCTGGAAGAAGAGCCCCGAAGGTAGGCCAGTGTTCTACTGCTGATTCTGCAAAAGATTCTTCATAACAGAATGTTGGAGGTACATCTCCAAGGAGTTAGCAGTAGGATAAATTACACTTAAGAACAGACTTTGTGACCAATAGGCTGCAAGTTCAGTTCCCAGACTGTTGTAAATAAATGTGCTTCTCCTGATTGTGTGGTTAAGAGAAGCTTCTTCTTCTGCAAGCATTGTTTCTGTTCCCTTCCACTGCAGCACTTATACAAACCCGTTTCGTTGGATTTCACTGCCATGATCCAGCTGTGAGCTCTTTGATTTTTTCTTGTCTTTCCTTTTTTTTAAAAGATGTGACCTATGCCAACATTCCACGTGCTCGTCACCCCTTCAGTCAAGCTCAGTCCCACAGCCACGTACCAGACCACAGACCAAGTCGGGCCAGCTGCCTCAGCCGGTACCAGGACAATCCGTGTCATGCCCCAAGCCCCAAGTCCCTGGAGGTCCTCACCGAGCTTGGGGGGCGGAAGCCTGTCCAGACCAGCAGCCTAAAAACACAAGCCAACATCTGCTTGTGTTAATACTGTATGTGTACCTAATTTATAAATAAATACATTCACACACATATCCTCCTGAGACCCAAGGAAAAAAGTGTCCTTCAATTGTAGGTTATTTGTCTTTGGAGGAAATAAGACATCTTACAATTTAGAATTTTTCAAATTTATTCTTATTTTAATTTCACAGCATGTCCTCTTTAGTGCACAAGAATAAATACGTTTCCCAACATCAGTGAAAAAATAAATGCAAAAATACAATGTCCACTACAATGGACATAAATGAATAGGTCGGGTCTCAGGTGGATATACAAATATATTAAGCGTGCAATCACCTAACTTTTCACAGCCTATTGTGATAACCATCTACACTTTCCTCTGGTTAGTTTCTTGTCATCGGTGTGTATATCTGCCTACCCAGATCGGTCATTGTAGCTGTCATCGACATAATCTGCATTCAGTTAACGTTAGTCCTGTCGGTATCCTGTTCCACGTAATCCCTGTGTTCCGAATCCAACCAGGTTCCCCCCCTTGTCTCCTTTGACCCCTCGTGGTCCTTTGGTTTCCCTTTATTGTATATTTTGTGTCCAATAAAGTTCCAATCCCTATAACCACCCACCAGTGTATCACTCCCTCCTTTAATCCAGTGACGACACTCATGAAATGTGTTAAATTCCTGTTTAAGCCAGAGGTCGGGACTCGAGTCGCTAACAACCTGACATGGACTTTACGGTCTGATTTGCCAGCTCGCATCCACCCCACTTTTGTCTGTCCATTTTGCCCTTTTGACATCTGCTGCACGCAACAGCTTATAAGTAAAGATAATATAATGATCGTAATATTAATATCATGCATACTGTAGGCTCTGTCACGTCAACATTGACACCTTTCCAACGCCTTGAAAATGACGATATTTCAAGAAAATCTCAACGTAAGTCATTTTTTGAATGTATCTTGAACTAGATTTTGCTAGTCTAGTCATTTACTTTTAATGAGCATGAACCCCCCCCCCCTCCAAGATGCGTTCCCCCACATTGTTTGCTTCATAGAAGTAGCTTCTGGCTTTGAAAATGGCTGGAGACCCCCTGCTCTAGAAACCATAGGGTGTGAAAATGCCAGGAAGATGCTGAAACCACTAACTGTGGCAACAACAGTCAGTTAAGAGTAGAGGCGGAAATTTCAGATCCAGAGAGTACAAATCCAGACCAAGATTTTGTTTCAACCAACCAGCTGAGCATATAGAGTCACAGCCACAGAGTACTCAACTGGTTGGTTGAAACAAAATCTTGGTCTGGATTTGTACTCTCTGGACCTGAAATAGGCACCTCTGGTTCAGCTGCATCCAAAATAAATTTCCCATATCACCTTAGTTCATAGCGCAGGTCCTTTATAATACAAAGCCAGCCTCTGCTTTACATTTTATTCTCAGTTGTGACTCCCTATAAGCCCAACAAAGACAACGTATCATCATACCATTAGGAATCACACTCAGCAAATAGCGAAATGTTCTGCTGATGAAAGCACGGCACACACAAAGCACAGTGCACAAGAAGGCAACACTAATAGTGTTTCCAGTAATGGAGTGTCTATTTGCCCCGGGGTGTAAATAGTTACATAGTTTCTGTTTGGCTATTTACACCTGGCCTCCTCACTTCCTGCTCTCTGATGCACCACAAAAATGTAAACACTGTGTGGCCTGCATGCATGGCTACACGTCACTTCAGTGGCTGAAGGTGCGAAAGTGGTATCCAAATACAAGAGGTAGGGTACATTAAACACGAAATATACCCTTGTTCTAGCAATAGTTAGCTAGCCGAAGGTGCACAACTTACCTGCTAACTAGCGTTAGCACTAGCTACAGGGCTTGAAATTCATTTCTCACAATGGGGGAAAATTCCTCTCTTATGCGTACCACATGGAGAGGAATTTTATATTTTGGGGGGAGGGTGCAGTAAAAACAATTGTGCGTATTCAATAGCATTAACCATGGATTTTTTTTTGTGTAATAGCATTGTTGGCTACTGATATCTGGGTGCTTTTTTTTGGAGGTTTGTAACCTATGGACTTTTTTATTTTAAGACGAGTAAAAACAAAAAAAAAAAAGAGAAAAAGGTCAATGTTGTATTATCTGGCAAAGTTAAACATACTGGAATCGGCCAAGAAAATTGCAACTGGTGCATCGCTAAAGACATTTTTCTGCATATTAACTAGCACAGTTATTAAAAAGCTTGAGATACCCATTTTAACCCAAAATGTTCTGTGCATTATGCATTATGTTTAGTGTTTTATGTAGAACAGGAACTAGCTTATTATTTCGATGAGGTCAGTTAACATAGGAGTACCACAGGAGTGTAAAGAGAAGTGAAGATTTGAGGCGGCTGCTTTCACAGCGCAAGGAAACGTGACCAGAGAAGCCAGCTGTGCTTTTTAGCATGAGCATCTGAACACATGCCATAATGCAGCAAAGCACTCGCACCTCAGCAGTTGCCGTTAATAACTATGGTGTTTGTGCTACTGTCAGGAAACAGGAAATGCCAGATATTCCACTTCACACTGTACCCATCCATATAGCTAGATAATGAAGCCATTAATATAAATTGTTTTCAAGGGTGAAACCGGAACAGCTAATTCTAAGACCTTTTGATTATAGATCTGTCCAAAATCCCAGTTCTAATTATCCAAGTTAAAGCAGTGACATCACCACTTTAACGGGAGGTAATTCATTTGGTTCCTTGAGCTGATGAGCCAAGTGTGCAGTTTGGCGGCATAATCCTCCGGCCCAGAAAACTGTACTGATGCGAGCACCATCATCGTATGCCCACCCCCCCATGTATGATGTTGGGGGGCAGGTCCAGGTAAGACGCCATCACAAGCTGAACATTTAAATGATCTCCTGCACAAGAATGAACACACAGTGGTGATGAAGCTGTAACCAGCATTAGCTATGAGGACGGCAGATATGAAATATGAAGAAGCTGTTAGCTGTACAGTAGGTGCCCTGTCATTATTACTATGACAGCTTAAACCATAAGTAACCAAACAGATAAAAGTCCTTGGACATTTTTAGGTGTCTGTTTGCTACTTTGAATGCAAACAAAATTTCAAATAAAACTATTAGATAGAGATTTCTAAATGCAGGCCTGACAGGTCAGTAGATGTAGGACAGAATGTAGAACCATGTGCCTGAGCCTTTCTGGTTTGGGTGTGATGGTCTGAGTAGTTGGTAGAAATAGGCGCCTTCATACCTGATGTGGAAAGTTTACTTACAAGTTAAAGTTTGCTTGTACTGGCTGTGTGAACATCAGCTGTGTTGCATCATGTGCTGAAGTGGGGAACTGCTCCCTGTAACAGTAGTAATATCATGCTTTGTTTTTTTCTAGGCTGTTCATTTAGACATGAGAAGGCCTGAAAGTACTGAATGGCATTTATGGATGGAACACTGACGCCACCTGCTGGCCAATTTATTGAAACATTGAAATTGTTCTTGTCCGCACAGGCTAAAGTATCATTGAAGTCTGATACTTTTCTATGAGTCAAATGGCAGGGAAATGACAGGCAATTAAAAATCTAGTCAAGTTATTTTTTATAAATCATCCATAAGGGCAGTGTCTTGATTGATCTGCCACCAGAATGACCTAGGTGGGGTGGACATTGTAGGAGTGTAGGAGGAATATGTCATTTATAGATTTTGACTAGTAATGTATCACTCAAACAGAAATGAGGAAAATGTAAGTTGCATTGGTTTTCCAGGTTTAAACAGACATATTACATTGCTGTAGAGCCCCTGTTTGACCGATTGGCACCACATTTGGAGGGCCCTTCCCCAGTACTGTCCTACAGGATATATTCAAGTTTGGTGATGATTGGCTGAGGCAGGCCTGAGATATTGCTGTCATGATTGCACCTGTATGGTCTGGGTGTGGCTATGGGCCGTACCTTACGGAAAGTTTAGGATTTTTCTTATAATTATTTATAAGGACTGTCTCCTGATTTGAATGATACCAGATTTACATAGACTGGGCGAAAATCCTAGGACAATTGTGAAAAGTCCTGGCAATAAATGCCAGCTGCAGGCTTGACAGTTCTGGAGAAACAGGCAGAAACGCAAAATTTGTCACTGTAGCGCCCCCATCTGGCGGACTGGGGTGTCCTTACCAGGGTGAGGTCAGGGTCTGTAACCAAATTGATCATCTAGATTTAGTTCAGATTGATGATTGGGCATTTTAAAAATATTAAAGTATAAAAAGCCTAAAATATGTCCCCCCAACGTGAATGGAAATGTTCTAAAGATCTATTGATTTGACACGGAATTGCCCAAGAAGAAAAAAGGATCTGAAAAATGTTAGTTAGTTTTCTGTTCTCCCACAGAACCGAGCCCACGGCTAAATCTACTTAAGTACAGGTATGTGAAACACGGACTTAAGTAGAGTAACGAAGTAATTGTACTTCGCTACCGCCCAACACTGTTAAGTGCACGAAAATCACATATGTATGGGATCCACGGATGGTTCGCCATTATCCCCAGTTTGGGACATTCTACAGCGCTTGATGTGAAAAGGCTTAACGTGACTTAAAGTGCCACCAAAAATCACCAAATTTCTCACACACATATCTGCTCATAAACACCTTCACCTGACAAAAAATCTAAACCGAAATACTAGGAATATGGACTTTATCTTACGTTCATAAAGACTTTGAGCTTTTATTTGCAGCCACTTCAGATTAATATTTTATTAGCACCATTTGTAATAGTTATTATATATTCGGTTATCCATCTCCCCGAAAAGCTTATTAAGATTGGTACGAAAAGATGCTTATAATTATAGATGAAATGGATGCTTTAGAGAGCAAATTGAAAGGTTGTAGGAATAAACTGCAATGGTGGTAGCTCTTTTTCAGTGCGACATTGATAAAGATGCCTTTCGCAAACATCGGGGAACTTCTGCAGGAGCAGGCGACAAACGAATATATCGTAAGCCACCCCAATATAAAAAACACCCTTAAGTCTTCTTTCACATGTTCAATGGAGCGTTAAGAGCGGGAAGTGGGATTCGACACATTTGCTTGTTTTTATTTAAGTTTTGCTTGTTTGTATTCAAAGTGGCGGTTTTCACGTTGATGAGGTTCTAGAACACGTAATAATCGGATCATTATATAACAAGCGTTCTCATATAGATAGATAGCTAAAAGAATACTTGGGAATTCAGATGAAAATGAGCACAGGTGAACGTCGTGTTTTAAGACTTGGTGAATACGACAGACATCGGCAAGGTAACCCCCCCTATCCGAAATGTGTCATTTAAATATTATGCTGGCCTGAGTAATTTACACGAAGGTGGAGTACAAAAATACTAAACACCTGGATACAATTACAAGAAAAGCACGTTGGACTTGTACTCCATTTTTGACTGAAGTATTCCAGTAGGCTAGTAGCAAAATTTTGTGGGAATTAAGAAAAAATATTTAAATTTTTGCTTTGTCATCAGATGGCATCAAAGTCTTGGGGGGATAATTAGGGGGAGCTATAAAGTCATCCACTTGTCTCTTTGCTATTGAAAGACTTGGATGTATCCTTCTGCTTCTCCATTTGTTTACCTAAACTGTAGAAACCTGCTTATCTTACAATGCACTTTTTTGCAGTTGTTAAACACTGATAGCATGTCGATCTGACTTTGTCACAGGTGATGTGTCCTACATAGCGGTACACTGTTAATAATGGACTAATGCCTCTTCCACCCATAAAATGATTTCTTCCTCTCTCTCTCTGTCAGCAATGGCATTCCCTTCCATGTTCCCCATCCTCCTCGTCCTCTCCCTGGTGGGCCACAGCTCTGCGGAGGATGAGGCTCCTCCTCGAGGCTGTGGCTCCCTCCTGAAGAGGCCCTTCACTGCGCTGTGCGACCTGGACGCAGTGTGGGGCGTGGCGGTGACAGTGGCGGCAGGCGTGGCGGTCCTGGCCTCACTTGTCCTGGCCCTGGTGCTGCTGTGCCGCTTGCGGCGCATCACAGAGCCTGAGGCACGCAGTGGGGTGGCACCGCTGCTCCTGCTCCTCGCCACCATCTGCATGCTCTCTGCTCTCAGCTTTACGCACATCATTGAGAGTCAGGAGGATGTTTGCATCGCTCGGCACGTGCTCTGGGCGGTGCTGTGTGCCCTGAGCGTTGCTTACAAAGTAACCCAGGGTGTGCGACTGCTCCGGCACACCAGCTTCAGGGCCCTTGCGTCACTGGTGATAGGCCTGGCTGTAGTACCAGTTATAGCCATGTTTGAGTGGATTCTGGCAATTGTGCAGCATCCAGGCCAAGCAGTCTGCCAGTACCAGCCACTGCATATCACCTTGGCCTGCATTTATGGACTGGTCCTGCTGATAGCACTGCCGATTACCTTGGCCGGGGGCACGTCTCAGGGGCAGGTGCAGATGCAGTGCAGGATGTTGTGGCTGCTCTTCACCAGCTGCACCTCTGGTGTGCTGTGGGCCATCTGGCTGGCCTACTATTATTATTTGAAAAAGACACCTGGCCAGTCCTCCACTTGGGAGGACCAGTTGCGGGCTGAGGCGCTGGTGGTACAGGCCTGGCTGTTGCTTTTGCTCCACGCCGCCCCTGAAGCCCACGCCTGCCTGCGTCCACCTCCACGGGCCTCAGATCCTGAAGACGTCGGCCCCGCACCAGCCTCGCCCCACCCGAGGGAGGCCGGTGTTGAACATGTGCAAGTGTGGACCACTGGGCAAATTGTGGAGAGCCAAGGCTCCGTGTTGCACAGCAACTCAGGTACAGTACTTTCTTTTCACCACTTTGACATGCGGTGTATCTGTGTTTGAGCATAACCCTCACTATTTCCTCCCACTCTTACGTGAAGCTGGTTCTGGAAGTACAAGTGATGGAAGTTTAGAACCAAGACCCAGCACTTCCTACCACATAGAGATGTACGATGAAAACATGGTGAGTACACCTCCTCATTCAGCAGCTCACACACAGACACCCAAACACTGAACTGAAAATATAGGTTTGGTCTACAGGCCTTTCACTGTTCCTCAAACTTTGCCTGTTTGAGCTTAAATACCATGGATGCAGGTCAAATTAAAACTGGGCTGTACCCCCATCAGTCCGAGTTGCATCGTGCTGTTAAGGGGGTGCATGTATAAAAAATTTCAAGTGTCATCATTGAACTGCTGAAGGATGTTTAAATGGTCACTAAATACCTGTCTCTCATCTGCAGGAGCCCATGCCCTCCACCTCCACAGCCTGGCAGTTTTGGTGAACGTTGGCGTGGGGAGGGGGGAGGAGACCAGTTGTCTGTCTCCAGGACTTCATGTATCAGTACAATCTATGCATGAATAAAATATATAATGTATATAATCATCTGATATGATTTGGTGTGTTTTTTGTCTAAAGGGTTACACAAGAATTTAATTTTATTCATCATACTATATATGAGAGAATTCATATAGGAGAAACTCTAGTATTCATTTGTATTTTTATCCACAATGTAATATTATTTACTAAAGCTTTAATTTTATTTAGCATTATTACAATATAAATCTAGAACTGTAGAAATGGGATTCTGGAAGTCATTCAAGCACAATAGTACAAATAATAGCAGAAAAAGGCAGAAAGTAATTTTGTAATATCTTTATTTAAATAAGCAGTACTTACGAAGAAGGGTGAGTACTGTGATGACCGTGTGTAGGCCGAGTGAACAAGAAGTGGGGAAGCAGGGTCAGACACACGGAGATCCAAAACAAGGGGTTTTATTGCTGGCAGAACAACACGGTGAAAACGTCTATGACAGACCTGGGGAAACAGACTTGAATGCAGAACAGGAAATAGCTGGTCACAATCGGGGTTTCACATGAGGTAAATAAGCGGGCATGGCACACAGGAGGATCGGATGAGAAAGTCACGACAGAACCCCCTCCCTAAGGCGCGCACCCCGGGCGCGTCTCAGGGGAGGCGAAGGACAAGATGAAACTGGGAACACGGGACCTGGAAGACAAAAGCAAGAACATCAACAGAAGACTGGGAACAGAACGGACACACAAAACAGGGACAAGAAGTAAGATAGGACTTGACAGACGACAGGAAAGACAGACAGGCAAATCAGAAAGGGAGACAGCAGGGGGACACCAATGGGAGGAGCGAAAGGGCCAGGAGTGAACACGGGAGGCACAGAGGGATGAGGAGCAGAAACAGGAGGGACGAAGGAACATGAGAACATAAGAACTATACAAACAAGAGGAGGCCATTCGGCCCATCGAGCTCGCTTGGGGAGAACTTAACTAATAGCTCAGAGTTGTTAAAATCTTATCTAGCTCTGATTTAAAGGAACCCAAGGATTCAGCTTGCACTACGTTATCAGGAAGACTATTCCATACTCTGACTACACGCTGTGTAAAGAAGTGCTTCCTTAAATCCAGTTTGAAATGTTCTCCCGCTAATTTCCACCTATGGCCACGAGTTCTTGTGTTTGAACTAATGCTGAAGTAACTATTCGGTTGAACAGCATCCAAACCTGTTAGAATCTTACAGACCTGGATCATGTACAGAGCAACAAAGGTTGGCAATGGGGAGCCCGAGGGGACCACAGCGGGCGAGGAGTATCAGCCGGAGGGGCGGCAGGCAACCGCAAGGCTGGAGTCAAAGGAGACCTCACAGGGGCGAGGAGGTAGGTGGGTTTGGTGTTTGGTGCTAGACCTTTCCAGCACAGTAAAGTCAATGGCCACGATTTCCAATGACCTAGAAGCCAACAAACTGCCCATGAATGTCCTCAACTTCGGCCGCACTGCTTTGGCAGCCAAACATCGTCGACACTCATGGCACCAATGCTCAATATCCTAAACGGCCAATAACAATGCTGACGGACAAGTGTTGTGGTCCGTTCTACCCCCTGATGGCCATGATCATCATGTAATGCAGTAAGGACCTCAGCTTGAAGCTGCTGAGGTAACAGCAACTGCAACACCTCTTCCCTACTACCAGGGACATGGCTCCTGTGATACAAAACACCATCATGCTCTTGCACATGGGTCCACTGACGCACTAATTCTATAACAGCGGGTGACTCTTTCCCCCTTTCCGGGGCTGTAGGGGGACTCCCCCTCCTCCGATACCCCAAAAAGGCTCCCAACACTAGATCTTCAGACTGCAAAACTTGAAGGTCTGCCCTAGTGCGCACCGGAGAAGCATCTGTAGCCTGTGTATAAGCACACAAGGACGGCCAGCTGACCCTGGCAATGCTCCTCACCTCCACTGGAACAGCAATTCCAAAAGCTGCCTCTTCCACCTTATCCAGAGTTGGTGGCGCAGACAACCAGGACAACGCATCCGCGTTCCTTTTACACACTCCCGGCTGGTACTCGATTTTAAAGTCAAAAAGGGCCAGCTGTGAAGTCCAACGTTGTTCCACTGCACCCAACTTAGCTGTCTGAAGGTAGCAAAGGGGATTATTATCAGTCAAAACAATGAATTTAGTACCCAAAAGGTAATCCCTATATTTCTCTGTTACCGCCCACTTCAAGGCTAACAGTTCAAGTTTCATTGCAGAATAGTTACTCATATTACGTTCAGATGGACATAATCCCCGACTTGCATACACAATGAGTCGTCTAAGCCCTCCTTCCTGTTCTTGGGATAAAATTGCCCCCAGCCCTAAGCCACTCACATCTACCTCCAGAACAAAAGGCTTACTAAAATCAGCATACCCCAAAACAGGGGCGCTAATCAACATCTGCTTCAAGGTGTTAAAAAATTGTTCACAACCCCAGTCCCAATGATCTCGCAAGGAGGTATTAAGACGTACCTTTTTCTTCTTCGGGGTTGGCTGTAGCTTTGCCACTAACTTATGGAGGGGAGCTGCGTACCTTGCAAACCCTGCTACAAAACATTGATAGTAGGATGCAAACCCTAGAAACGAATGCAATTCTGTCACAGTCGAAGGAGTCTTCCAATCCCGTACTACACTGATCTTGTCAGGGTCTGTTGAAACTCCAGAGGCTGAAACAACATGTCCCAAAAATTTTACCTCTGACTGGAAAAAATGACACTTCTCAAGTTTAAGCTTCAAACCCTGTTGAATCAACCTGCCCAACACCAACTCCAGTCGCTCCAGATGCTGTTGAAACGTGGAGGAAAAAACCACCACATCATCCAGATACAAGAGGAGAGAGTGGAACCATTGATCACCAAAGATCCTTTCCATCAGCCGTTGGAACGTCTCCGGTGCGTTGCACAATCCAAAGGGCATCCTCTGAAACTCAAAGAGGCCAAATGGGGTGCAAAAGGCTGTCTTTGCTCAATCCTTTTCTGCCACAGACACCTGGTTGTAACCACTAGCAAGATCAAGAGTAGAAAACAGACAAGCACCCGTAAGGGCGTCCAATGACTCCTCTATACGAGGCAAAGGAAAAGCATCCTTTCTAGTTTTTGCATTCAACTGTCTGTAATCCACACAAAGGCGAATGGACCCATCCTTCTTCTGAACCACCACAATAGGTGAAGCGTAGGGGCTACAACTTGGCCTTACTACCCCTTGCTCTAACAGCCCCTGAATGTGTGTTTTTACAACATCATACTGGGATGGGGGGAGCCTTCGATAACGCTGCCTCACCGGTACATCATCCAACAAGGGGATCTCGTGTTCAATCGCGGCCGTGCATCCCAAGTCTCCTTCTCCACAACTGAAGGCTGCACTATGTGTACCCACGACTTCGTAAATTACTTCCTGCCAGGTGCTATCCTTCTCTTAACCCAATCTAACGCTTTTAAAGGGAAAGCGCCTCTGCCACCTGGACTAATTGACACAAAGGGGCGGGGTCCAATTAAATGGCACTGCCCTACCCATCATACAGGCTACACATGTAAAGGTGTGTGCAGAACAGAAAACAGAAGATCTCACTCCATGCAGCTGACCAAAGTTGCCAACCCTGCATTTTATTTTAAATGAGAAGTAATTAAAATGCAGTTTTCGACTGAAGCAGCTTATCATTCCTTTGCTTTGTTACTCGGACAAATACAAAACGAATGATTAAACATTATTTGTGTCTCTTTTTGTATGTTTTCTAAATAAGACCGCGTGCCCATACCCAACTGTAATAGCGATTAAAGCGATCTATTCTATTTTTTTGTTTGTTTTGTTTAAAAGGAGTTCGCCGGTTCTATTGATGATAGGACCTTTCAGAAACAATCTCGGACCATGAAATAGGAAGGCCATTCACTTATAGCTCAGTAGCGGAATCAGTATTTTTCCGCACCGCGAATGCAACATTTTCCTTGCGTTTCACGTGTTTGCTGTTTGTGGGCCTATACGCCTTCTTGGGCCACTTCTGATTGGTGAGCATGACTGGCACGCGAGAAGAACAGCACTTGTGATTGGTGAGAATGACTGTCACACAGGGAGCGCGGCATGAATTTGTAAAACTATTCTCACAGCAGTTTTAAACCCTGGGTCCGACGTGCTGTATAATGTATATCCTAAATCGCAATTTTTGTGGCTTGCTAATCGCGTTGTTTCAAATCGTGCATGATGAAACATGCATGATTTTGGGGGGGGGCAGAAAATGCAGTCCAGGTAAGACGCCATTACAAGAGGAACACTTAAATTATCCTCTGCAAAGGAATGAAAGCCGTGGTGACGAAGCTGCAATGAACATAACTACCTATGAGGATGGTAGATAAGAAATGTGAACAAGCTTCTAGCTGTAAGCGTCCCTTTGCCCAAGTGGAAATGAGACGTCCACATGAGACTTCCAGTTGCTTTTTTTTTTTTAATCTAGTTTTGATTCAATAAGAAAGGCATGTAGCTCAATAACTGCTGAATATTCTGTCTCCACTTCCTTCCTGTGCACCCCCCCCCCCACCCCCCACCCTGCAAGGAGACACCAGATTTAGACAGTGAACACGATAAGTCATGGGCTTGATCTTTAAAAGCGATAATGAACCTGTGGTGGAAATTACTGACATGTTGTGATGTCCTCATATAAAGTTTAGCCCACCCACCCTCTAAATCTGCTTATCCTGTACAGGCTCTCAGTTAGCATGGTGTCCAACCCAGAAAAAATACGGCATAAATTAAGGGGTCACCTTGGACAAAATGACAATCCATCGCAGGGCCCAAACATTTCTGGGATCTTTATTAGACACACTTTGCAAATACTGGATAAGGCCTCCCTTTGCTCTCAAAACAGCTTCATTTCTTCATGGCATGACATGGTCCGCAACAATGCTCAGATAGGCTGTGGCATTCAAGCAATGATCGGTTGGCATTAACAGATCCACCATCACCACCAACCTGGACTGTTGACACAAGGCAGGTTTGGCCCATGGATTCATGCCGCCGATGCCAAATT